TATTTAAACTATCAGAATACAGCGGTCAGTCTTATTTTTATGGGGTGGACGGGTCCTACTATCATCATTCCTTCTTTTTCAGGGTCATCATTCTCTCACATCATTTCATTGATAAAATTTCCATATATATATATATATATATATATATATCATTTCTCGCACTTCTCGCTTGTGGAACTTCCTTCCGGTGTCATGCTTTCCAGTCAACTTTGATGTTCAAAAATTGAAATGCGATGTCAATCCCTATTTTTTTTTAAGCGTTTCACCCCAAGGAAGCCACTAGCACGCAATGGGTTACAGAGTGTTGGAGCGAGAGCAACTAGGAGTGATAGAGGAAAGGATGAAGAGAAGGATAGGGGATAGATCAGGGCATCTGGCGACGTCGATTGATATTGCATTTGAATAGTTGAAGATTATAGCTATCAGGGAAACAGGAAGAGGGGAGGGAGTTCCACAGGCGAGAAGTGCGAGACATGGAGCAGAATAGAAGAGGGCTACATTAAACAGTTCCCACAGTAAAAGGGTGAGAGCGAGATGCCAACCTAACTGTCCTCCTGATTACTCTTCTATTACTCTCGCTCCTTAGTAATGTTTCTGCTTTTTAATTTTCACACCGAGTAACCCCTTGGGTTTTAGTTACTTTACTGCCTTGCTTGGGGTGAATCTGATCAAAAAAGGCGGGGATGGGGCAAAGTAATAATCAGTCAATTAAAATGATATTTCCTGGCAACAAATGCAGACTAGAAAAATATGCATTACTTAAAAGGTATAAATGATGTGCTTGTTTTTTGTTTTTTATCGGGAGGTGGGGGTGTTATTTTCCCCCAAACACTGAGATTCGAAAAATATAATTAGTTAAACAGAAAGAAAAAAATTATATTTTCTGTTGTCTGCAAATGATAGCGAGAGAGTGTCAGTGTAAACGGCGTAAGGGCGGCTTCAGTAGTGACAGACGATCATGCCAACCCTGGCATATAAATATTCATTCAACGAATAACTGATGTCATGGTAGGCGTAATAAACCAATCCAATCGATCACTATCGATATTTGTGTTTTAACTACCATTGAAACGACAACGAATCGATATTTACTAAGCGCAGTCTTAGACTGGTGACAAAGTCTCTTTCACTGTTATTATGCATCTTCGGATTTCAGTGCCACATTTTTCTTGGCCCATGATGCCCACCATTTTTTTTAAATGACCGTGTCTCTTCAGGATGTACATTGCTTTTCTTTTTTTTTTCTGAAAATTGCTTAGCTGAGGAAATCCACCTACCAGATATTGTGTTTTAATAAGCTAAGATTAATAAATATCAGTAAAATAAAATAATTTTTCATTAATCAGTTCACCCCAAGTAAGGTGATAATGCCACTAAGACGCAAGGGGCTACTGGAAGTGAAAGAGAATTAGGAGACTTAAGAAGGAACCCGAAACCCTCAAAATGAAATGTTGAGTCCCACCTACATTGACGGAATACAATCTTCCTATATGATTTACATTATTCGGACTATTGTCCTCATTTTTGTCGCCATATTTATTACAACGTTTCGGCCGTTGTACGCTCTCGCCTTCTTCAGGTGGTTGGAATGTCGAACTGAACCCTTTATTTCGCTCACTGGATGTCAGTTATCAGTCATCTCCTGTCAATTTCCCTCTGAAAGTTCTCCACTGCCTTAACCAGGTATTGAACTCACACTCTTTGACACTGGATCTAACCAACGTCTTTATCCACTGTGCCATGTGTCCTTGAGCACATCTGTGTATGAATTTCTTTATAAACCTAATGTCTTCAGCAACCATTTTTACCAGTACTCATATTGCAATTTTTGCTGTTCTTATAATATGTTTTTACCAGAGCTCATATTGCAACTTTTGTTGTTATTATCGCTTTTCTCTGGCACTCCTTATTACTGGTTCCCATATTGTATTTATTTCTATGCTTGGTCGGCTCAGGAGATTTTTTCCAACGGTGTTCCCTGTCTATGATCTCAACATGATCCCACAGAGAGAGGTGATCTCCCTTCTCTCTCCATATATGGTCAGCCACATTGATTTTTCCACTTCCCCTCGTGTTACAGCTTTCTGATGTTCTTGAAGCCTTACCTTAAGGGGGCGGCCTGTCTCCCCTTTATATTTCTTTCTGCAGCTGCACGGGATAGCGTACACACAGTCTTTAGTCATGTTCTCCTCTATGGGGGGGGTCTTACTCGGGAGAGATATCTGCGAAGTGTCGTCAAGCTTTTGAAGGTTGTCCTGATGTTATATGGACGGTAAATAATGTACATAATACCTCATCTCAGAAATATAGACAGACAATGTTCCTACATCAATCTCACCACACAATCGGAGTTTTCTATGGACAATGTCAGGGCGTAAACAAACACGGTCCTTCACAACTGCCTGTCTTTCGCTGCTCGAAATAATTTTCGACCCTTTTTCATCTCACTTTGTCTCTGTTCGGCCACATATGTGTTAACATAAATTCATTAAGTAAATTATTCTCTATTTCCCTCAACCAATCAAGCTTTCAGTATGTTCTGTGTGTATTAAATTCTCTAAGCCCTCTTTCCTCATTATGTGTTCCAAAAATGTCAACTGTTTCGTTCTGATTGTAAGTATAAGTTTCCGTATTCTTATTTTCCTTAAAACTTCCTCATTGATCACATGTTCTATCCATGGCATTTTCAGTTTTTGTCTGTAGAACGACATCCCTTTAAGTCTGTTCTTCATCTGTGAGGATATTGTCTAGTATTCACTGCCACACAGGAAATTAGACATTACATAACACTTCGGCTCTCTTTTCTTTGTTTCTACCAATACTTTCCTATATTTTAATATTTTACTTACTTACTTCGGATTTCAGTGCCATATTTTTCTTGGTCTATTATCCCCACCACCTTTTTTTTAAAAATGGCCGTGTCTCTTCAGGATGTACATTCCTTTTCCTTTTTATCCGGGAATTCTGATACCTTCTTAGAAAAAAATATGAGTGAGTTCCCGTTGTCTATACAGAATTTTCATTCGTCTTAGATTGGTTACCATTCAAGGCTAGAGAATCCAGTCTACCTTCCTATTTAATCAATATCAAGGATACTGGGAAAAACTCGATCCATGCCTCTCCGAAAATGAACGGAACTGACTAGGTGTGAATTTGAACTTGGATGCCGATTCCACATTCTGCGACAATAACCATTACCTTTCGTCTGTTACTACACTACTCAGGAAATTAAATTAATTACCGAGGATAATAAATCAATTACCTAAGAAATTCTATCAATTACCAAAGGAAATTAATTTAATCACCCAATAAATAAATTATTTAACTAGGAAATTAAATTAATTACACAGGATATTTTTTCAATTACCTAATAATGTAAAACAATTACCCGGGAAATTAATTTAATTACTTAAGAAATAAATTGTTTACCTAGGTAATTAAAATAATTACCCATTATACTATTAAAAGAAATTAAAACAATTACCCAGGGAATTAATGAAATATACAATAAAAATATAATTACCTGTGAATTTAAATTAATTACCTAGGCAATTAAATTTCTGTAGCTACTTCAATTTGACGTCCAAACTACATTCTGTAAAATAGATACAAAAATAAAAAATAAAACAAAAGAAGAATAAAAAAAGGATTAAGTTTCCAGTTAAAACAATTAAAAACAGATCTTTTTAATCTAGATTTAAAATGTTTATCCTCGAGGTAAGTAGACTTACCTGTCGTAGAATATTAGCATAATTCACTACTCCTCCCACACTCACCTTTGCTACCCGGCATACTGCAGCGTGAGTTGTTAGACAAGTCAATAAATATCCCCTTGCTGCTTCCATAATATCTGTGTCCTACAGAGACAGGAACACTTTAAAAAGAAATATCTAGACAAAAAAAATAATTTCAAACAAATACCTATCAATAGAGATGATTTGAAATATGAGACTCAAACTTATGTAATTATTACCGAGTATTATAACCATTAACTTGTGTCACTGATTGAGTCTCTACGCTGTTTTGCTGTTATCATAGTTAATAATAATCGCTGTTTATGCGTGGGCGTGGTAAATGCTAACGATTTGGGGAAAGATAAGTTTTCCTACGTGGTTGTTACAAACACCAAATGTTTGAAATTTGTATTTAATGAAGCTTGAAGATTGTTCCTAGTGATTTAATGTTAGTTCACTGCGCTAATTGTCCCGAATGTTTTTCAGCAAATAAAGAAAGAAATATACAATAAATCAACAAAAAGTTAAAAAAAAAAGCAAAGCAAAAAGGATTATATAATTGACCGACTCTAAACGCTTTTCACGAACAGATGTTCTATAAATCTATTGAAATTATTATCAAATGTCATATTTATTCTTGTCGGAAGAAAAGCCAATCATAAATGTGAAATTTGAAATACTTACAACGTTATAGTTTTGTTAAAAACGTAACAACATTTAAATTTAAAACCGAGAAGTATAAATATAAGATAATAATTTTAAGGGCCAAAAACCCGGCCTAGAGATTGAACTGATAATATGTCCCCATATTCACGAACCGAATAGACTATTGCGCCATGAAACTTAGTCTAAACTTCCACTCAGTGGAAACAGTGTGAGCAATAAATGCGCTGTAGGAAAGGGACTGAGGCCGAGTTGCGAAGTCAGGACATGTAGCCATAACGAACTGTATAAAATGAATTCTTCAACAAGTCATCATAATCTATATTGATTCCATTACTTGCGTATTATCATGTATATAGAGAGACACCTACAGTGTCTAAAGCAGTTTCTGATTACAGAGAGTCTATTCTTACCAAAGCATTTCTAAAATCTTAATTGAATGGAACGATCTCGAGTGGAATTTGAACGCAAACCGCTGACTCCACAGCCCGAACAGCTAACCATTACTCCACTGTACCTTCTGTCTAAGAATTAATTTTATTTTTTTAACGCAAATTTTAATTGTAAAACTAATCACTTGAAAACTTTATTGTTTTTCCACAGGTATCTATTGGTTATTTACCAAATAAACGGATTCTAGGACTTAGCAAACTAGCCAGGTAAGTGACATACTTACTTTTATATATATATATATATATATATATATATATATATATATATATATATATATATATATATATATATATATATATATATATATATATATTGAAAATACAATCATTTCCTTTCCTTCACTTTCTTTATTGTCTTGGTCGCTTTTTCCACCCTAATCACCGACCTTCTTTTCTTTCTTTTTTCTTTCTTTTTTCCTTTTTCTTTCTTTTTTTCTTTCTTTCTTTCTTTCGTTTTCTCACTGAAACCAAGTAGCATATATCTTTTGTTTTTCTACACAATCAAAAGGAAAAGGTTCATTATTTTTTGAGGTATTGACTGGAGACGTTAAATCTTCCCCTTTTTTCTGCCCTTCGATACTGTGCGTCTGGAAAATGGCACTTTTGTCGCGGTCGCCATCATCTATGGGCCTTTCGAATGAGATCAATGTATAGTATCTGTTCTTATCAGCTTAATCCTCTCTCTCTCTCTCTCTCTCTCTCTCTCTCTCTCTCTCGACTTCTATATTCCAATCTTCTTTCTTCATTTCTTTCATTTTCTCACAGAAACGAAACCGCGGTTTACCCCTCTTTTCACGTGATCAAAAGTGAATAGACCATTATTTATTAGGTATTGACAGGGTGTAACGGTCGTGCTAACTAACGAAAGCACAATTATAATAGTATTATCATTATAATCAAAGCTCTTGTCATTCTGCAGGCGTCAAAGCATTTTGGTATTCTGAAATTGTAGAGAGCTTTCATCATCATCCTTCGATCTCCCTATGGTTGGTCGGAACTCCATTGACAATCTCTTTACACACTGTTCAGTCCGACATTGCTGTCCCCAAATCCTCAATGTCTAACCTTGAGTCCCGAGCTATGGCGTCTTTGAAAAAATTCACGATAGAAGTTTTCAGCCTCACCGCTATTATATCATTAACATTGGCCTTTATTTAGTTATTCTTTTTATCATGTTCGAAAGCTTTGAACAGATGGCATTTCAAATTTTAAGACAGCCATTGCCAAAAATCTCATTTCTCTCCTCATAAAGAAAACAAAAACAAAATGTCTACTTATATTCATGAAAATATGGCCAATCCTAACCGGCAACTGTTGGAAGACTTCGACGTAGGAAGTAATATTTTTTTCTAAGCGTTTCACCCCAAGAAAGGTGGGAAGCCACTAGCACGTAAGGGGTTATAGAGAGTTGGAGCTCTAACAAATAGGAATGATAGAGGAAAGGATGAAGGGGGATAGATCAAGGCATCTGGAAACGTCGATTGACATTGCATTTGAATAGTTGGAGATTATAGCTATCAGGGAAACAGGAAAAGGGGAGGGAGTTACACAGGCGGGAGGTGTGAGACATGAAGCTATTGGAGTAGAAGAGACGGCTACATTTAACAGTTTCGACAGTGAAAGGATGTGAGCGAGATGCCAGCCTAGTAGAACGCTTAAATTCATGAAGTTTGGGTGTTGTTCATGATGACGGTCCACATCTAAGCTACGCTTAGTAAATCGCCATAACCAATAATTATTGGTCACCAACGATGGTTAGCAAGCTCTTCTTGCGGGCCAGTTAGCTGGTTTCTCGAGAATGAGTCCCATTGCAGCTCGCCTTGTACCAGTCTTTGATTTGCTTTTACGGTTTATCAACCTTTTTGAAGTTATTTAAAGCCGATACATATTTTTGTATTGTAACATTTTTTGAATGTGATAATGATTTTCTGCAACAAGTATTACTATTTAACCTGTAGCTGGGAGGAGAATAACTGGATTCATGCCTTTCCAAACGATATTTATACGTAAGTGAATGTAATGAACCCGACTGGAATTCAAACTTGGCTCTCTGATTTCTCGTTCTGAGTCTTTATTCATTACCCCCATATATAAGTTTACCGCATAGTATTCATCAGCGGTCACCCATCTAGGTATTGAACAGTTTCAACGTTGCTTAACTTCGGTAATCGTACGAGAACCGTTGTTTCAACGTGATATGGCCTTATGTCAAATTAGAAAATGGTAAATGTTACATTCAAATCGACAACGCCATAAATTACAAAGATGTGATATGTTCACTCACCTCTTCCCGCGAAAACTGTCAACAACACGGAAGTCGACGGATAAATGTTCTTTCTTTTTTAATATATTTTGCCCTAAGATATATCAGGAAAGATTTTTAATAATTGATTTTAGTCTCTTCAATCAACGACTTCTTTTATTAATTAAAGGGTTTGAAATAACCTCTCACTGGAAATATGTTTAATAATCGAACCGCAGTTTTATGTCGGTCATATAATTTGCAATAAATCAAAGAAAATGAAAAAAAAAAAAACAAGGTTGTTATGAATTTTTCTTTTTACAAATAATTAATGAGAATTCCAACAATTTTCATGATATTGAATAAACAATATTCAGCGCTTGTCATATATCTCTCACACAAGAACACTCTAAGCAAGGCAATGACGTCACGAGAATGTAGGGATTTAAAGTGAAAGTAAAAGTGAAAGTGAATAAGATGATTGAGAATGGATAGGATTGAAGAAAGGACAAAAAGGAACAGGGTTCAAGAACACAGAAGATGGTGATTGACAACTGATTTAAATTTTTCATGATTGCAGGAAAGCAAGAAATCGGAAGGGAGTCCGACAGATGGGAAGTGCGAGATAAGAAACTATTAGACTAGAAGTAGTGGTTACATCTAGCTGGTTCAGCAGTAAAACGGTGAGACCTAGTTGCCAATCTAGTAGCACGCTTAAATTCTGGTTGGGATTCGGGAGGGAATGAGTATATAAAAGAAAATGATCATCAATATTATTGCTTTAGTTTGAAATTATAAAATCTTTCTCATAAAAGATTTTTTTTTGGGGGGGGGGAATAAGTTTCTCAAGTCCAGTAACTGTTATTGATCTTTGTAGTATTGATGGGGGTTTCTCTCTCCTCTTGTTCTCTTGTAACGGCATTCAACCGAGGTGTGTTGAGCCGGCTCCAATATTGGAATTTCATGGGAATTTGAAATTCACAGGCGGTCTCCAACCTGCACATGATATAGCACATGAGATTTGATTATAGTGGTGAAGGTTTCGTGCAGGACTATCCTCACTTTTTGAAGGGCCGATTACAGGGACCTGGTGCACTAAGTGCCACAAGGTCCCCAAACGACTCTCCGCAGGTTTTGAATTCAGAGTTTTTCCTTCTCCTAGACCAATTGCCATCCAAGGCTATAGAACCCAGTCTGTCCTGCTATTTAACCATAGCTGGAGGGAGAAGAAGAGGATTCACACCTTTCCCAAGGGTATTAGCACGTAAGTGAATGTAATGGTTTCGACTGGAATTCGAACTCGGCTCTCCGATTCCTCAATCCAAGCCGCTATCCATTCTCCACCGTGCCTCCTCCTGATGGGGGTTTCCTTCTGTTATGGTAATTTACCCAGGCACGCAAGGACTCTCCCAGCTATAAATAGGAGCAGGTACTGCCTTTTGGAGAGGGAGGTTTCCAGCAATCAATTCTAACAGTCAGACCGAATATTCTTGCTGTAACACTCTCGTTTGTATTTCTGATTCTGTTAATATATTTGTCTAACTCAATTTCTCTCTGTGTTTTTATTTCTGGCCGCTAACAACTCCACAACATCTTCCTAGCCTTTTTTTAAGTGGTGTAGAATGTCCAACATCTTGATAATGTCATTATTTTCTCTTTCTCTTCTGCTATGCATTTTAGTTGTTGCTGCTGTTGGCAGTCCTTAAAGGATATGGTTTTCTGTTATTTAGTTCAGTTCTTTGTGTGTGATTCTGTAGCGCCATTCCACAATGTTCAAAAAAAGGATGACCTTTGCCAAGACCCTCAGGCTTCACTCACTCAAAGCCCCTTTTAACCATTGATCTTAGAAAGAGGTTGGATACAACTGACAGTTTACATATTTCTGAACTGGTTTCGTATATCATCCATATGAAAGTCTCGAGCTGACGAAGATATTTGTTGTTAGGGAGAATATTTCCCCTACAAGTTTGGACTCGGCCGTCGGACGGAAGACATAAAAAATATGCCTACATCAAGAGGAGTAGCAGGAGGAGCAGTAATAGCTATAGCTTCTACTGAAAATAGTCATTCACGGCTAAACATTCTCCTCGCTAGTTTCTATTCTACATTAAGTCTCCTTGTACCAAAAGGTAATAAACTTGATGTTAAACCCATTCCGCTTTTCTTATTTTTTATTTTGATAACTCAGTTATAACAATATTTAAAACCATGGCTCGAGCTTTCAGGTTTATCTTTTGGTTTTGTATCAATGTGCGTATTGAGCGAAACTACCCCTGACGCAGCATATTCTATGTTCAATTTCTTTTTCTCCTATACTTAATTTGTTGTAACTGATGCATACGCCGAGGTATTTGAAGTGTTTAGTATTTACCAATTCCACATTCTAAATTTATATGCTGGATTCAGGGTCAGTGCCATCACTGCTTTCATTTCAATTCCAGATCATAGTTTCTGTTTTTGGAACGCTTTATCTTCAGTCCTATATCTAGGAACACTTGATAGAAGATGTTGGTTTTCTCTTCACGATCATTCTTAATCCAACTATATATATGTATATCATTAGCATAGCCTCTTCCCCTTATCATTGGTATATTGGCCTCGGGAGGGAAAGCAGGATCGTTGTCTTCTATTGGTAGACTCGTTTCGGATGTAATATAAAGCTGCTGAAGATACCATGGACTGAACATGGGAGCAACGACGAAGTTTTAGAGAAAATCGAAACAAAAAGAAACACTTAGAATCAGAAAGGGACAGTTTAAATTTCTAGGGCACATAATGAGGAAAGAAGGCTTGGAAAATTTGACACTCACAGGATATAATGAAGGCAAGAGAGTCAAAGGAAAGCCGCTCATAACATAGATAGGTTAGGAGTTAAGGGAAAAAGACAAACTTTACTAAGGACAGGAAGTTGTGGAGAGACATGATCGATCACGTTCTTGACGTGAAACGGCACACAGAAAATATT